GAATTGTATGGAAATAAATGATTGTTGATTGAGCATTTATACACCGAGTATTGTCCTTCCTTCAGCCCAAAGATTCAAAGAATTGGGAGATTTCAACAGCTGCTTTGTTGATTTTTGTCTCATTTTCACTTTGTTTCTCTTCTTTTCTCTCTCTCTGGTTTTCTTGTCATCTTTGTCTTATCTTTAAGGTTCTACACCCCAGTGTTGCTTTGTTTTGCTGTTCTGTTTTGTTTTATTGTTCATCTGACTCAGAGGAAACTCTGCTCACTACAACAGACTCTTCAAATCGCTTAGAAATAACTTCAAATGTTATTAATGTAGACATAGATACACTGGTGCTGCACTGAGCAGGTTGGTGATATGTCAGCACATTAACCACTTTAAACTAATATTAATAAACTGGCTGAAATTCATAGTGCTTTTCTTGCAAATTTAATGCATCTCAATTACACATTCACTGATATGTATAGGAAAACTGATAAGCACCAAAATGAACTTTCTCTGATAATTATAAAAATATTTTAGTGATTTATATGAATTTATGAATTATATGAATTTAATTTCTAACAGCAACATTTGAGCAAAAAAAGAAAGTTGTAGATTCTTGTTTTATTGCATAGTATAAAATTTGATGGTTAAAAAGGTAAAACAAAAAAAGCCTGTGATCCTTAACCTGCTGGGATAATAAGCTGGCCAAAGGAAGTGATAGAAGCCACTGACATCAAGACAAGGAAGCTCCTGACCATGCATGGAGGGTTTCACTCCAAGTCCAGCACCCTGAGGCTGGATGCTAAGTGGAAGTGTGAGCATCAGCACCATAATCCAGGATGAGACAACGAACATCCACGAATACATTAGGAAGATGGCCCCAATCAACCGGGTCCTCAGTGAATACCTCATGCAGCAGAAACCCAAGAAAGAGGAGAAAGAGGAAGAACCATCATGGAAGGACAGGCCCCAGCACGGTATGTACCACTGGCAGATAGCAGAGGTGGCTGACATCCAGAAAACCTACCAGTGGCTGGAGAAAGCTGAACTGAAAGACAGCACAGAGGCACTAATCATGGCCGCATAGGAACAAACTCTGAACACAAGATCCATAGAGGCTGGGGTCTATAACACCAGGCAAGACCCCAGGTGCAGGCTGTGTAAAGATGCCCCTGAGACAATCCAGCAAATAACAGCAGGGTGCAAGATGTTAGCAGGCAGGGCATACATTGAACGCCATAACCAAGTGGCCGGTATACAGTGGCATAGTATACAGAAACATCTGTGCCGAGTATGGCCTGGAAGTCCCGAGGTCAAAATGGGAGACGCCCTCAAGGGTGGTGGAGAATGACCGAGCTAAGATCCTGTGGGACTTCCAGATACAGACGGACAAAATGGTGATGGCTATTAGCTAAGCTAACATGTAAAAACTGAACTGGAACTAGTAACTTCATCACATCCAAGTCAACTTTGTTGTCATTATGATACTCAAGCATAAAGTATATGTGCCCTTCTCTCAGCTGTTATAAAATATATGTGACATATGTATAACTAGGGGTGGATTATTTAGCCCATAGCCTCAAAATTATATCCAGATCGTTCTATTAAAATATGATGCATGCAGCTTGCAGGCAGCAGCATTTATAAGTAACTAAATAAATCCTGTTCCGATGAGCTATTGTCATAATGACAGACTTTGTAGTGTGAAGTATGTACAACATATAACAGTATAACAATAGTGCAGGACAGTCTCATGTTGTGTCATCACTGCTTTGGCTGATGCTCAGCTGCCACACAGTACAAGCATAAGATATGTGCATACAAGAGCAATACAATCCTGACTACTGTTTACCTGAATGTCTCAATAAATACCACTTCCAGACAAATAAATGATAGTCATAAGTTACTGTATATTTAAAGTTTCAGCCCAAAATACCACACAGATCATTTTTTGTACTATTAATGTTAACCCCTAGTTTGGTCCTCTTTTTCTAAATCAAATTAGACTGTCTGCATCTCTGTCTTTCAGGAAGAGCCCTGTGATTGACGGAGAGGTATTTCTCTTAAACCCACCAGATTCAACTTACAGGAACAAAAATGAAACCAAACTCTAACTTTATCTTGGAGGACACAAGGTTACTGTGTGACTGTTTAACAAAGTCGATTTTAGAATTACTGTCTTAAAACATCAGTCACCCAAAAAATGATCGAGGCAACAACAGGTTATTTGCATCGCAGGTAAAATTGTCATTTTTTCCAGTGGAGTCTGGTGGCTTTGACTAAAAGTGTCTTCAGTTTCTTAACACAAGCAACGGTCCAACAGCAGCTTAAGCCTATCTATAGCAGGATGAATGGGATGTGCAGGAGGCTATGACACTCTGCAAAGCACACAGGCAGAAGTGAGCAGCAATGTGGTGTGAAATCTTTTATTGAACCAGAACCAGAATCCATAAAACAATGCTGGGAAAATACTGGGAGCTAGGAAACTAAGGTGAACACAGGAAACAATAAACAGGATGATAAATATATAATAAACTATAGAAGACGAGGGCTATAAACACACACAAGGTAATTAGGGAGATGGGAACACCAGGGAACTGCAACTAATTAGGAAAACTAGATAACAAACCCAAATGCAACATACATTAGATTAGATAGGATATTAAAAAATGAAACAGGAAGAACTTGTTAAGGGAACATCAGGAGCATAGAAGTAAGTGGAATAAATGCACAAAGCTGCAAGACACAAGGGCAAACTAAGGAAAAAATTCAGATAACCAGTAGTCAACAGAACTTAGAAGAGCCCCCCAAAAATGCCCAGAACCATAACAGTGAGTACATTATTACAATGCAATATTAAATATCAAGTAAAACTTCACCTTTTATAAGTGTGTATGCAGCGCTATGAGATTTAATAATATAAACTGAAACATGTTGTTGAAAAAGACTTCATCAATGTCACTTTTATTTCATGGGTCCAAACATTATATAAAAATCCCAAGTCTCGGGTAAGGGTTAATGGCCACTGACTTCTTCTCTCTAGGCCACTGCACTAGACAGGGTGAAATGTTAGCGCCGTCCTTATTTGCTCTCAGTATTGAACCGTTAGCGGAACTGATCAGATCCAACCCTCTCATACAAGGAATTAGAAATGAAACCAATACACAATATAAGCTGTCACTTTTCGCAGATGATATTTTGCTATTTTTAGAGAATCTGGTCACCTCTGTCACAGCCCTTCTGAGCAATCTTAAAGATTATGGTACAGTGTCAGGTTATAAAATAAATACAAACAAATCTGAGGCGTTAATTGTTAAGTCAAATTGTTGAATGTTGTCATTGTGGTTCTTAAATTTGTAAAGTCTTAGTTCAAGCAGTAGGATCAAAGCCATTCCTTTGATCCTGACCACCCACGCCAGCCAATTTTTCTGGGTTTTTGAATTTACCAAGGGTGTGTTATTCACCACCTTGTGTTGCTCACAGAGGATTTGGGCTAGAGAAAGGAGAGGAGCATTGCTCCACCACCTGGTTCTGACCAAGGCTTCCCTCGTTAGCGAGTTAAAGACCGGTTGAAGATGTTCTGTTATGTCTTGTGTTCTTCATGAGGAATAAGTCTCTAAACTAGCGGGGCATGTGGAAACACAGACGCAACATTAATGATTGTTGGGAACTGGCCCACACAGCTAGATCATCTTGTATCTTTTAGACACTCTAAACAGGGTTTCAGATACTTGGGGATAATTATTACTCCTAAAACCAATCAGTTACTTGCGTTCAATTATGATTGGTTATTCAAGGAGGGACTTGGACAGATGGAACCTACTCCCACTCACTCTTATGGGGAGGATTGAATGTATAAGGATGAATATTCTTCCATGCCTATTATTCCTATTTTAGAACCTACCCATTTTGATCCCACAGTCTGCATTCAAATTATTAGAAAGCATTACATCTAAATTTATCTGGCAGATTACACAACCAAGGGTCAGACTCAACCATGTCTCAAGCTGTTCCTGTAAATGGAAATGTTGAGTTCCTTCCATCATTGTCAGATCTGAGTTTTGAGAGGTGGGCGGAGAAAGGTTAAATTAAGATTTTAGAACTCCACTGAAAACCTTTCTTTCCAAAAGTAGTGTCAGTGATAAGCAGTGTTGGTCAAGTTACTTGAAAAAAGTAATCAGTAACTAATTACTGATTACTTTACCCCAAAAGTAATCCCTTTACTTTACTGATTACTTTTTCCAAAAGTAATTAGTTACTTAGTAACTTTTTAAAAACATGATTTGCAACCTTAATAGGTAATAAAGCGATAGATCTTTCAGCCCAATTCTACTTTTTCTGCATAATCCATCATACAAAATGTAATCAAATGGAAAGTCTCTTTTTAAAACTTGTTTTATTAGTTTTAATCTTTTAACTTTATGCATCAAGCAAAAATTAAATTATATGCAACATTCTCTGACTGGAAGAAATTTGTTTAACATTTAAACCTATTTTCTGCACATTCCAGCACATAAAATAAAATATTTTTTGTGTTTACACTCAGTCTTTCAAATAGATGCAAGTAAAACACAGCAGAAAATAAATAAAACCAAAGACTCAGCGGTCCTGTTGCTCTATTTTCACCTGTTTAGCAGGAGTGCAGCAGGCAGAGGTTTGCCCTGGTGCAGGTGTGCCGCAGCGGTCAGTGGAAGAATCTGTGAGTTTCTCTGTGAATTTCACATTCCCGTGGCAGCATACTCGGTGCTTGCTCTGAAGTTTAGGGGTTTTTTTCGCTGTAAAAATAAGTTTTCTTCCCACGCAGTGAACAGTGGACGCTAATGTTTTTGTCACTTTTTACGGAATCAAACTCAAAGTAAGGTCAGTACTTCCACGCGTTAAACGCTGCACGGTCATAAGCTCTCCCGCACTCTATATATTATCCATTGTTGATCTGCACACAGCTGTTGCAACGAACGTTGCACTCGCTTACGTCATTGTCATGAGACACTCTCGCAAAAAAATCACGGCTTTAGTAACGCAGTAACGCAGCGTGCTTACAGGAAAGTAACAGTAATCCAATTACTTTTTTGCAATAGTAATCCCTTACTTTACTCGCTACTTGAGAAAAGTAATCAGATTACAGTAACGCGTTACTTTTTCCAACTTTTTTCAATTTTTTTACTGCCCATCTCTGGTGATAAGTGTTGGAGAAATTGTGGGGTTTGGGGGGACCAGACGCATCTCTTTTGGGACTGTGTTTGCATACAACAGAGCTGGATAGATGTTAAGAACATTATGCAAAACATATTGTCAGTCAACTTCCCAATGGATACTCTGATCTTTTTTTTGGATATCTTTCCTGATGGTTTCTCCTATGAGCAGCGCTTTCTCCTAAATTTCCTCCTCATGACTGCAAGAAAAATGATAAAAATTTACTGGTTCAAGTCAGAAGCACCCACAGTTGCCCAGTGGCTTCTGAAAACGGTTTTGTTCATCTACGTTCTTTGATTTAGTGTTTCTGTTATTTAGTTTTGTATTTCTAGCTCCCCTAGTTATATTTAGTATTCCTGATGTGTAGTTCTCAGTTTTTTTATGGTGCCTTCCCTGTGTTCTTGTGTCTCGTTGTCTCACTTGTGTTTTCACGTCTGTTATTTTCTGGTTTCATCTGTGTGTGTATGTCAGTTTGTGTTCCCATTACTTCCATGTGGGTCATGTTCTGTTTTGCTTCACTTACTTTGAAGGTTCCTCGTCTCACGTGTTATGTTCAGCTTTGTGTCCTGTCTCGTTGTGTGATGTTAGCCCCAGCTGTGTTCTCCGTCTATTTAAGCCCTTTGTTTCTTCTGTCCTCCTGTGTGTTCTGTCTGTCTAGGTTATTTTGTACTCCTCAGTTTAGTTAGTTTTCCTTGTGTCCAGCAATAAAGCTGTTTTGGGGTTCACTTTTCGCCTCAGAGAGACTGTATTTGGGTCCTCCATTCCTGCCTGCCACACACAGCCAATGACAAAAGTGACCAATCTTGGTGTTCATATGGATCAGCCTGTTCAAAGAACACTCCTTTGCACCTTCGCTGTATCGTATTTTGGTCTTTTGAACTTCTAATGGATCATCTAGTGTTTTTTTCTCAATGTTTATTAATGTTTTTCTTCCTTCTTACCTGTTGGCATCTTTCTTTGTTTTAGTTTTGTGTGAACAACCACATGGAAGCATCTACTCAGAATGCACATAGTAGGGGAAGTAATTGCTGTAAAGCTGGAAGGTAATCTTGTTGCTGAAGAGGCTTCAAATGTTCAAAACTCATACTTTGGAAAAAAAACCTCTTCACAGAGGTGGAGTTTCACAATATGTGTCCGTTAAGGACTGGGTGTAGCAATAACAACAATCACTGGAAATTACACAGAGCATTAAGTCGACTAATGTCTCTGGCTCTTTTCAGGTCATTATATAGTAAACTAAATGTGTGTATCAGTGGCAGGACAGTGTGAATACCCACTTGCAGGAAGACCTTGAGACGGTCCAGTGGAGCAGTTCCTGTCCGGGAAACTGCCCCTGCCATGGCTCCAGCAACCAGCTGCCTCCATACCAAACCTGACTGCCGCTCCCGCTCTGAAAACTCATCAGGCACTGTCAGGTGTTCCCCGATGTCAAACATCTAAAACAACATTAGAAAGATAGAAACTGTGTTTGTGTTTGCTCGTTCTTCGCCACTGCATCTTGCCAACACATGCTAACTGTTACATAATCTACATCTATATGAGGTATGAATGAAAACAGTGTAGTTCACAGTTCAACTTGATTATGTTTTGCCAAATACTACCAAATATTTTCATCCTAATAACCCATTAGCATGAAAATATAAATACTGTCAGGATGTTAACATTTATTAATAATTTATAACATTTAAAAGTGAAAAACAAAACAAACAAAAAAAAACACTCCTACATGGGAGTGCTTCCAGTGGTGGACAATTTCCTCCATGTTGTGCAAAGGGTTGAACAGGAAGTGATCACGCCATTCATTCCAGTCAATAGTCATAGTCCCATCTCTGTCCATACTGGGAGAAAGAGAGAAGGTTAGGGCCGGTTAATGCTCACTGTTTCTCGCCCTCATTAACTGGATGACAAAGTGACATCACATCTTCTGACATTTGTATAACAGATGTATTCAGGAGCACAAGGGTCCCAAATGGCCATGGGCAAAATCACCATACGGGCAAGCATGCAGTGCTGTGAAAGAGTATTTGCCCCCTTTATGCCATCTCCCTTGATGCCGGGTTTAAAAAATAGCAGTTTTGATTTTGGTGAATAAGACGCTCTCATAACTCATTGAGTGATGCCACTGACCGGCCAATTGGTGCAGGGCGATATGGCCAAAAATATTTATCACGATATATATTTGAAAATTTGCGATAACGATATAACTGACGATATAATTGATGCGAGACAAAATACAACTCCACAACATTACTAGCGCAAAAAGACAACCTATCCATTTATTTTCACTTAAACAAGAAGCTGGTTTTTATGTACATTAAAGCTTTATAAAAATGTAACAGTGCAAATGCAAATTCCTTGCTGAAAGTTTAACCAAAAGGCATTTCCAGTAGAAATGGGCTGACATATCCTGAGCATAACCATGTATAATATCCACTGAAGTTAAAAAGAGGTGCTTTGCAACATTAAACTGCAGTGTGCAGTACGTATTTTTCGGACCATAAGGTGCACGGGATTATAAGGCACATTAAGCGAAACAAAGCAGTCAGATAAATCAAACTTTATTAAACTCATTCTTCTTGCTTCCTCCACTTCTGTACCATTGATTCATTAATGTGTATTTATCGGACAGCTGCTCTATTCCCATGTTGTTGCAGTATATTAATGACTAACCTCGTATTGTGGATGGATTATCTCAGTTGTTCTCCTGACTGAAGTTTGGTCCGTTTACAGCATCCTGCCATGCGATTGCATTTGTCTCTAACCATGAAGGAACCTTCACGTTAACTTTTATAAGTGGAAAAGTGTTAGTGTTCGTCCTCCAGCTTCACTGTTTATGTTATGCTAACATAGCTGTGTCGCTAGCGATCACGTAGCACATCATTATATACCAGCTAGCCCAACTTCAGTAACCCTACAAACGTCACTGCTGTTTAGTTTCCTGTCTTCATTTATGTTGGAAGTGATAGCAGAGCTGTATGTTTGATTTTTTTCAGAAATCTCTCAGTCAGAACATGCTATATCATGCTTAGGTAACTAGCGAAACTAGCGAGCTAACTTCCGCTAGCTTCCTGCTAACTTCTAACTCCGTTAAATGTAATAATTTTGTTTTCATGGATGCCTGGAAGTTAAACTTCATAGTTACACCTGGTAAAGCAGCAATGCTGATCGTTTTATTAAAGATGAAAGAATTTAGACAGTTTTTAACTCAGTGATGCTGCAGTGTTCGTTTGACCTGAAGCATACGGAGTTTAGGACCCAGATTACTCCCAGATTTAAGAGCATCTTAGTCCGACGGCCGCTTGCATGTTCTGCAAAAAAGTGCTTTGTCGTGTATCTGACGGACAAACACCAAACCAGTTCCACATCACTGAAGTTGCACCATTTTTACAAACCAATTCTGGTTCATCTGTTTCACTCAACAATCGGCCATGTGCGTATGAAAACAAAGGCACTGCGCATGCGCGTTTTACTCATATTCTATCGCGATATTTCATTTTCCTATCATTGCCTAACATTATACCGGTATTACCGTGAACGGTATAATATGGCCCAGCCCTAATTGGTGCCATGCATTTTAGTACCTCTTCAGATTGCTTTAGAACCCCTTCTGAGCATATACTATTTTAGTATCTGGTACCAAGTATTATTACAGTATCACCTAATGGAAAACCCTGAAAACGGTGGCAAACCGTGGCAAGTCGATCCGAGTAGGTACTAATGGAAAAGGGGTTTAAATTAAAGCTCCAGGCCCTTGGCTGCATCAATTCCAGGGTCCTGAAGTCCTGTGATGCCCAACCATCTGCCCCCTGCAGTATCTCTTCAACCTAAGTTTGTTGCTGTAAAAGGTGAAGACATTATACTATGGAAGACGTTATGTTTAGTACTGGTACCAAAGAAAGCCATTCCTTCTGGCCTTAATGACTTCAGACCAGATGCCTTGATGTCACATGTCATGAAGGTGCTAGAGAGTGGTTCTTGCCCATCATATCTTGCAGGTGAAACATCCCCTGACCCCTTTCAGTTTGCGTACCACCCTCTTGTGGAGGTGATTATCTACCTCTTTCAGCATGCTCACTCTTAACAGGATGGTACTGGTAGCATTTTTAAAACCATGTTTTTTTTTTTCCAGTGCCTTTAATACCATCAACCCACTTCTGCTAAATAATAAGCTGCTCAGGATGGACCTCACCACTTCTATTGTCTCCTGGATTGCTGACTATCTGTCAGAGAGCCCTTAATTTGTACCACTGTTTGATGTGGTGGTTAGTAATACTAGGGCACCACAGGGGACAGTCCTGTCTCCATTCCTGTCCACCTGTGCTACTACTGCACATTCACCCAGTGTATATACTATATATATATATAATGTTTTTCCTCTACACCCCCCCAATTTTTTTGCACATGTCGAGGAGCGTGTCAGGCTACATTTCACTGTGTGTTATACTTGTATAACTATGCATGTGACAAATAAAGAACCTTGAACCTTGAACCTCAAATTTCCATTACAAGACTGAAACATGCCACCTGCAGAAGTTCTCTTATGACACTGCAGTGGTTGGATGTATTAAGAAGAAAGAAGAAATCACCTCCTTCTGAATTTCAGCAACACAAATGACATGTTGGCTGACTTTCGGAGGAAAAAAAACACTGCAACTAGGCCCATCAACATGGCAAGTGAAGAGTTGGAAAACGGGGACGGCTACAGGTACTTCACCTGACTGGAGGAACCAACAGTGTACAAGACGCTGTACAAGATGAGGATGAGCAGACTTTACTTTCTAAGGATGCTCAGATCCAATAATGTGTGAGGCAAGTTGTTGGAGGTGCCATCTGTTTGACATCATTCCCTCTCACCTGTTTAAAACAAGTTTTCATGTAATTCGGCAATCAAGATTATAAATACTTGTTTCAAGACGGCCACGTCTCCTAGCCAGAGGCAGCTTCTCTGCCAATATCTGCGAATGGCAGATGGACTGGTTCCTATATGGTGGTTTTCTACTCTGAGCACTCAAAGCGTTCCAAAGCAATCCAAGGCTTGCCAAATTACACCTTCACTCCGGTGGTATAGGAGGCCAGTTGACCCTGATCAACCTGAGCCTTCCAGCTCAACACAGGCCTCTTTTTAATAGATTTTTCCCATGGCTTTCCACACTTTCAGATGACAATGTGAAAAACAGGCCAGCCTCAACAAGCCTCAGGTGAATCTGACTGGCAGCAGCCCAAGAGTGAAGCTCCCAAAGACCTGCTTCTCTCCAAAGCCGACAAAGTAGTAAAAAGAAACCAGCTCTTTCCCCCGCTTCCTCTGACGAAGCCTCCTAAGCAAAGGCAAAGTGCTCAAGCAGCACTGGAAAAACAACCTCATTTTGTTGACTCTGAAAATTATCCATAGCAGATTTTATCAGATGCATCATATATTAAAAGGGAGATGACACCGGGCAAAACTGTACCAAAAATACTTGCACAATATGTAAAATAAACAAACACATAGACAGAGGCAGAGGCACAGCCAAACACAGGTGCCATCTTGCAACCCAAGTCCATTAATATTATTTTCTTTTATTGTGCACTTCTTTTTCACTGTTAGTAATATTTTGATATTAACACTTCATCATCCTCTGATTACAGCAGTCAAGTAGCTGCTTTTCTAAATCCTTACTATTACGTGCACTTCTTGTGTCCTAAATCCCCTCACGTGCTAACCAGCTGTATGCCAGCCTTGTCCCTGGGCCCTTCTCCAGTTGGAAACTCACCTGAAAGTTCAGTTCTATCACTAACTGCTACTGATTGTTTAAGATGCGGCCTTCACAAATGTCACTGCCACAAAATCTTTGGCTTTGTAAACTCCCTTAATCTTTTAGTGCCTCAAAGCTAATCCTCCGACTTAGCCAGTTGAGTTTAAATCATTTATGTAGTTTTAACCTTTTTTATACTGGAAAGTAGGGTGACCACAAGGGAGATAGAATCAAACCCAGGCACCTGTAGACTTTTGGCATATGGATCACCTGCTCAACCAAGTCAGCTACAATGGCACATGGTGTAAAATCTGAGCAGGTGGAACTGACAGAAGGGAAGCTGAAGAAGAGCGGAGTGTACGAAGGGGTGAGTATGTATGGAGAAGATCGGATAGATATGGAGGAGCAAAGTTATGAAGCGCTTTGAAAGTGAGAAGCAGGATCTTGAAATTGACACGGAGGTGAACTGGGAGCCAATGGAGCTGTTTAAGAACAGGTGTTATATGTTCAGTGGATCTAGTTCTGGAAATAATACGAGCAGCTGTATTTTGAACCAACTACAGTTTATGGAGGGATTTATGAGGTAAACTATAGAGAAGACTTGACTTTAATAGATCACTGTGTAAAGAAATACAAACAAAATCAAATTTCCATTTCAGACATGGTACCTCTGCAGTATTTTGGAGGCCTGTTCCATGGTAACCTCCACTCCAAGCTTTTGTAGTGAGTGCTGGATCTCCCCCACATCAATTTGCCCTACCAAACACATCAGAGAGTACAAACAGCATTGGAAATTGGGGCCTGTAAAGATGATATTTATGGGCGGGGTAACTGACAGAACTGGTGTATTTACTGTGTGTTAAGCATGCACACACCGTCATTGTTGCGGTCCAGTCTGTGGAACATGAGCCAGAGTCTTTTCTCGTGAGTCTGGAGGTACTGAGAGAACTCCTGGAAATCCAGCAGACCATCATGGTTGGTGTCGCTCTCAAGGACTATCTGTAAGTCCAGAGAAAGAGAGAAAGCACAGAGTAAACAGGGAATTAAAGCCAAAAAAAGGCTTAAATTAGGATGTGTTCACAATGTAAATGACATGGGGCAAACGGTGGGATCAGGGAGTGTAAATAGTGAGGAGAAGAGAGTTGAAGTCAGCCAGTCCATTTCCATTGTCCTGTCTACCATGCTGGATTCACAACCACAGAGCACAGGGAGCCACGGTGAGTTTATTTCAAAACTTTGTTCAGTACATTAACAAAATCAATACACACACAGAAATTCCTCATTAGGAGCAGCAGCAAGAATCAGAGCGAATGACCATTTTAGCTAACGTAGCTAACCGTAAAAGTTTCAGTTTCAGTTTTCAGTTTTATTTGTCATATGCAAGTTAGCACAGGGTCAATATTGCAATGAAATGTGTTTGACGAGTAGCAGTCACTCAGCAGCATGGTACAGTAAAAGTGCTAGCTAACTAGCTATCCAAGAAATACACACTAATCAGTGTACTGCCCTGACATTAGTGCTGGTAACTAGCAAATTTCACTACTGGACTGAATCAGCAAAAATGATTTAAACACAAAAAAAGACAAAGAAAGAACAACATATTATTCTCAACTACAACAAGTAAAACAGTAAAATCTAGATTATTAAACCTTAAATCTCTCTTTTCTAAGTGCCTGTTAGCACATCAATTAATAATTGATTAACAAATCTTACAGAAACCTGGTTACAGCATGATGATTATGTTAGTTTAAATAAATCAGCACCCCCGAGTTATACTAAATGTCAGAATCTATAAACCACAGGCAAAGGGAGGATATGGTAGCAAGCTTTGCACCTCAGCTTTTTAATCACCCACAGACCCAGGGAGTTTCAATTCATTTGAAAGCCTGATGCTTAGCCTTGTCCACCCAAGAAAACTCAAAAATAGTTTTATTTGTTGATATCTATTGCCCACCATGCCTTACTCAAGGTTTCTGTATGATTTCTCACTCTCACGCTCAACACAAATAAAATAAGTATTGTGGGTGATTTTGACGTCAATGTAGATGCTAAAAATGGTGGCTGCGGCTCAGGTGGTACAGCAGATCAGCTACTGATGGGAAGGTTTGATTCCTGGCTCCCCAAGTCTGCATGTCAAATATCCTTGGGCAAGATATTAACCCGAAATTGCCCTCCGATGCGTTCATCGGAGTGTGAATGTGCATGAATGTTTATTAGTTGCACTTGAGTTTAGAAGTGCTCGTATAAGTGGGTGTGAATGGGTGAGTGAGGCTTGTTGTATACAGCGCTTTGAGTACTCCGGGAAAGTAGAAAAGCGCTGTATAAGAATCAGTCCATTTACCATTTAAAAATACTTAACAGGGCATTGTTATTATTTATTATTAGACTCAGTTAACTTCTTTCAAAATGTAGAAGAACCCACCCACTACTTTTCTCACACTCTAGATCTTGCTCTGACATATGGCCTAGAAACTGAACATTTCACAGTGTTTCCTGAAAACTTTCCTGAAAGCAAATTTAAAATGCTGCTCCTCACATACAAGGTC